CTGACTCTTCCCAGAATTAACTGACTGTGCATTGTTGCTAAGTTTTACAAGTCATGATTCATGGAGCCTGGTCATAAATTTTAAAAAATGTAGAGGTTCTACTGCTTTTCATTAAAATGTGCTCATCCTTTGGATATTAATACTCACTATTGACCATGGCACTCTTCATAGTAAGGGAATATAAATGACATATGTCAATAGAATTCAGACCTGCCTAAACTTGATCCTGATAGTCTGCTAAAGGGGCTAATAAATACTTAAAAAAAAAAAAGTATAAAGTTGTATAATATTGTTAGAAAAGAAAACTAGCGCATCTTTCTTAAAAGGGTTTGGTGAAACAGCTCTTAATGTTTTCCTTTGTGCACTATGTATAGGTAAAAGATGGTAGAATTGAGGGGTATATAGCAAAGGACACTTGACTGGAGGGAATTGTAGCCCCAAGAGTTGTCAGAATGGATGCATTGGAGAACATGCAATGAACAAAGCAGCAAGTCAGAGCTTCCACATACAATTTAATGTTCACAGTTCAGTGAAAGAATTTATCCCCTTTTGCATAAGAGATCTGAGATTTACTCAGTTACTCAGAGAAGTAACTGATCTTTGACTTGGTAGGAGTTGAACTTAGGCATGTTTGTTTCCAAAGCCCTTACTTGTCCTGCTGTGTACTACCTTTAATGTTGTAAAAATAAATGAAATACGGCCCTCCCTAGTGGTGCAGGGGGTTAAAGCACAGCACTAAAAAGCTAAAGCCACTTCCGCATGAGTTCGATCCCCGCTCCAGGGGTGATCCACATGGTGCGACAGACCTCTCCTGACCCGCCCGCTGCTCCCCTCAGCAGTGTACTTCGTAGATCTGCCTGTTCTGCTCCCCACTCTGTCTCTGGTGAAGCCTCTCACCGCCCCTGCACCTCTGGCCTGTACCCCATTTCTGTACAAATAAATATTTAAAAAAATAAATGAAATGCAAAGTAGCACTCTTTTAAAAAATAATGATTATATAAGCTTTTTAGAAATATTTGTTGAACTGTAGTTGCAAAAGCTAATCTGCAGTTATAGCTAGAAACAATTCTTCCAGTATGCTCTAAAATTTATATACATTCCAAAATTCATGGCACCTGAAACACATATCTTTTGAACATCCTGCTCAACTTTGGCAAAAATTTCACAAAACTTCAGCAGCTAGATGTTTTTTGTTTTGGGATATTTGTTTTTGTTTGTTTGTTATTGATAATGGGCAATGGAAAACTTAGATGCTCTGCCCCAGTCTTTCATATGATTGGAGGAATTCAAGGGAAATTCGGTCCACTGGGTTATTGCATTGTCTACAAAAGGTGACCATTACAACACAGCCTATTTTAAAGTTGTCATTCCTTATCAACATTTTGTATAAGGCAATTATAATATGATTAATACTAGCTATCCAGTAACCTTTATTACTAAGAAGGAATGGTACCATGCAAAGATTTGAGGAAAAGTGGGTGTGGACTATGGGCACTTTCAGTCTAGAATAAATAGGCTTAGCTTGAGGTCAGTGAACAATTGGTTATTACAAAGCAGTTTTGCTGCTTTGAGTGAGACTATATACAAATATTCCTGATTTAAAAAAAAATCAGTTGTTGAGGGCACAAGGATTTAGTGTGGGATAGAATCTGTAGGATACTTAGATTTAGTATCTTTCTAAATTCCGGAGGAAGTGGGTGTGTATTTTATGAAGTTAAAATTTTGTCATTGACATATTTCCTTTTTAATAATGACCAATGATAGAACTGGCCTGAATCAAACTTAGTAATTATTTTTTGAGGTTTGGAAATAATTTGGTGCCACTTTTTAGTTTTCCAAAAAACAAATGTGATTACTTTGTGATCTGAGTTCCTTTAGAATTTCAGATATTTTTTGAGTTAAAATTACCATCCACTAGTTTCACTCATAGCAGGAGCATAAAGGACCAGGAGGAAAAAAATGATAATAATGCATAACTATATACCAGAGACATTTTACAGGGGTGGAGTAGGGAATGAGATCAATTATGGGGGGCAGGGGAAAGTGTACTGGACTATGGTGATGGCACATGGATGACTTGGTGACGGGAAGCCCATGGGGATTAAAACTGAGATGGAAAAAGGCACAAAATAATGTAAAAATAAACTATTATATTATAAAAAAATTATCACAACAGTATATCAGAAAATTTAAGGTACAAAGTTAACTTTGCTGCCTTTTATTATAGTATTTTCCTTTTAAAAAGAAATGTATAAATTATACTATCTGTTTTCATTGTGACAGTATAATATCCTATTATGTCAGCTGTTTTAATTTTTCTGTTTTTTGTACTATCATTGCTTATGAATAATAATTTTCTCTTGAATCTATGGTTAAACTTTTATATTTCGATGTTTGGTTAGCATGTATGTCTTTGAATTTTGGCTTAGCTATTTATTGGCTATCACGATTTATGGTTTCTATTTAAGACCAAAAAGACTCTATACCTTTTAATTTCTTTGCACAGAAAGGAGAGTGTCGATCAGAAAATACTGCTAAATGCAGTGTTTGGGGCTGCTGGACTTAAACAAGTTAGCTGTCATTTTGGTGTCTTCCCTATCAATCTGACTAATGATTGTTTTTGCACTTATGAATTCCTTAGAACACCTGTTTTTCTGGAAAAGGAAAATGTTTGACTTTCAGTGACAGATGCAAATTACCTACATCATTTTAAATTGAGTTGAGGTAAAATAGGAAAAAGTAGGGAATGATTAAATGGGCTTATGGTGAAATGTTCTTCCTTAGCCCAGCCAATACAAACATGCTTATTATATATTTTTATTATTTGATCAGGCCATAATTCTGTTCAAGGATGGTTTGATTCACAGAGGTGGCTTTATGTTTCTTTTTCATCACTGCCACTGACTTTCTTTCAAATATTTGCTTGTTTTATTTCAAGTTTGTTGTATTGATACAAATAAATATGGCAGTATTTTAAAATAAAAATTTCAGCAATATTCTTTTTTCCATAATTTTTCTAATATGTATTATTTTCTCTAAGTCTCTAAAAATAATTGTTTGCATTTCTGTTTTCCTGCTCCTCTCTACTTCCGTCTATTCTAGAAGCTTCTACATACATAGAAGCTTTATGCTCATTATTTTGATCCATCATATTTTTTCATTCAGGTTACTGCAAAATTAGAAGAATGGAGCATGGAGAATAGACCTTTTAATCCAATAGCCTTTTTAAAAAAATGCCTCTTTGTCTTCTGAACTACAACTGACACATAGTGCTTCCTGGAGCCAGAAATTGAAGCTTAGAACTGTACTAGCCCAAGGTCGTGACTATATTCTCAGCTATTCTCCTACTCCAGTTGCAAATGATCTACTTTTTATCCTCAGTTTCTTGGTGGTTATGGCAATTTCTTGGACACTAGGATAGCAGCAAATTTATAATGAAATTATGTTACTCTGGAGATAACCGGTGTATGAGACAAGTGAGAACAGGTTTTTAGTAGAACAACTTGGATTAAAGCTTAATACTTTTGGTGACCTTGGCCTTAGTCAATCTTTTTGATGCTTAGTTTTCTTATTTTAAAGTTGTGCTTCTTTGAATGAAAGAATATGTGAAAAAGTCATTTGCAACCTGTTAAATGCTCTATAGGTGTAATCAGCTATGTTTGCATTTATAGTAGAGAAAGAGAGTTCAGAATTTCTTTTTTTTTTTTTAGATTTATTTATTTATGCACACAGAATTAGGGTACAGGCCAGAGGTACCGCTGTACCTCTGGGGGTTAGAGGATTCACCAGAGACAGAGTGGGGAACAGAACAGGCAGATCAATGAAGTGCAGTGCTGAGGGGAGCAGTGGTTAGGTCAGGAGAGGTCTGCTGCACCATGTATGTCACCTCCCTGGCAGGGGATCAAACTTGTGTTTTAGTGGCTGTGATAGCTTCATAGTGCTGTTGTGCCACCAGGGAGGGTTCAGAATTTCTAATGAAACAAATTTACTAAAAATGCAGATGGATCATTTTTTTGAAAAGTATTTCGTTCATGAAGCTGAATCCAGGTATTTTGAATTGCTCTACTTAATAATAAATCATGTTTTAAACTTTTCTGTGTATAAAAGTAACATTTTCACATTTTAATTAATACAATGTATACAATGTATGTATCACCAGCTTAAGAACTAAAATACTGCATATGCTTTCTTTAAATTCGTGTAGAGCCATGATTTTCTGTGTGCTAGTGACTCCCAACTGTAAATGTATAGTCTGGACTTTTTTTCTGTACTCCAGATTTACGTAGTCAGCTGCATATCTGGTCTCGCCCCTCTCATGTCTAGTAGGCATGTCAGACCAAAGGTCTAAAATTGAACTCATTTCCAATCACACCTATTTCTTTCTCTGCAGTCTTCTTTATCTCTGGAAACAACTGTTTTTTTTTTTCCTGTTTGCTTAGTCTAAACATGTGGGAGTTTATTTCTACTTTTTCCTTCGTACTCCAGCAGTCTGTTGATAGTTCATTAAAATATCTCGAGAATCTCAATCAATATTCCCAACTGCTAAACTAGTCCAAGCTATTGTTACCTTTTCTAGATCAATCTTTAGCCTTCTAGCTGGTATCCCTGATTCTGTTATTTCTTGTAAAGTCTGTCATCAGCACAGAGGCTGGAGTAAACTTGTTAAAGGCGAGTCTGATTGTCACTTGTCTGCCAAGGCACTGCAATGACTTCTCTTCCCCCAGGCCACTAGGTAGAAAGCAGTATGTTCAAACAAACATCCTCTTTGAAATTCTAGTTATCCGTTCTCGCCTGTTCTCATTCCTTTTTTGTTTGGTAAGAACATCCTCTTCTCTGTTGCTAATTCAGTCATTCGTTTAAAGTATTATATTTTATGTAACACTTTTAGATCATATCTTTGTCATTCATTTTGTCAGAACCTAAAGTCTGCTGACAAATTGTTACTTACTTGTAAAGTTATCACTGATGTCTTGGCTTTTTTTTTTTTTTTTTAATTGAAGGATGGAAGACTCCAGACAGGGGACCACATCTTGAAGATTGGTGGCACAAATGTGCAGGGAATGACCAGTGAGCAGGTTGCTCAAGTGCTGAGGAACTGTGGGAATTCGGTCAGGATGCTCATTGCAAGAGACCCAGTTGGTGAAGTTTTTGTAACCCCTCCTACTCCTACAGCCTTACCTGTTGCACTACCTGCTGTAGCCACTAGGAGCCCTAGTTGTGTGAGTATACAAATCATTTCTTTCATCTTAAATCAAGACTGTGTATGATATATGTGGAGATTAGAAATGCCTTTGACTCAAAGGGTCACAGTGATGGTAACAGTATCTTAATCTTACCAGTGAAGCTAGGCGGACACAATTGAGAGACACTGGACAAGTTTGAGTTTCTTTTTGCTCTTTCTCAATGTTATGTCATTCAGCATCCCTGAACCGTAGATACTCATCTTTAAATTTGGATGAGTTTCTGGTATCTCCAGAATGTTGTTTGCCTTCCCCTACTTGGAACCATGGGAGTAGAGGTTTAGAATCACTTTTGTTTACTATTTAAACCATAGTTACATACATTTTCTATTCCCCCTATATATACTCTAGCTGCCTGGAGCCTTCTATTTTGTAGTGAGGCCCCACTGTCATAGTGTGGAACATGACAATGGATGCAGTCAATTAAGTGCCTTCTAATATTAACATTTTGAACAAAAACAAGGTATATTCTTAAAGACTTTCTCCTTTAAATTAGAGAGAAACAATGGAAATAAGTTTTAGGTTAATATTTTTGTTCACAATATTTATTTTATAAAAATTGGATTTACCATTGTTCCTTAGTTTTTTTCTGTGGTTTGTTCTTTGATATACATTTATTCTTTTTTCAAAGTGAATACCTTTGTTGTCTATTGTTGTATACCAAATTGCCATACACTTAGTATCTTGAAACTTGGTTAGCTCACAGTTCTGTAGTTCAGAAAAAGTTTGAGTGGGCCTGGCTAAGCTCCCTGCTTATATTCTTATGTGATCAAACTCAAGGTGGGCTGGCTGGGCTCTTACCTGGATGCTCTGGGACAATCCATTTGTAAGTCCATGTAGGTTATTAAACCATAGTTAAAGCCATAGTTATGCAGGAGCCAGCTCCTGGCGCTGTTGGACTGATCTCTTTTCTTTGCTGGCTGTCAGCTCTTTCAGCTCCTCTTGGACCCCTATAATTCCTTTTCATATGAACCACTCCATCTTGAAACCACAACTCCAGTCTTTCTTATGCTTCAGATCTTGTTCTCTTCCCTTTTTGTCAATAGCAGGAGAAAACTCTCTGAGTTTGAAGGGTTATTGGTGGATTAAGATCACAAAGACATTATCCCTTTTGCTATGTAATGTAGCATGAACACAGAAATAGCACCAGGAATCAAGTCAAGGCCATCTTAAAATGATACTAAGTAACACTTGGTAAACCATGTGCAAATTGACTATGTACACACAGTTATATAACAAAACATTATACGTAACTAAAATTACTTTTCCTTTAGGACAATTCTCTTTTTGAAACTTATGATGTTGAACTCCTTAAACAAGATGGACAGAGTCTTGGAATTAGAATTGTTGGCTATGTTGGAAACGCTCACACAGGTAAACTAATCATTTTATCTTTGGAAATAATTGTAAAGGTTGCTAAGGTTTCTAGAGAGTAAAATTAAATACCTGAAGATTTCAATTTAAGCATTGAACAATAAGACCATGAATCTACAGTAACAGCCATTTAATTTTCAGTGATTCAAAATCACTGTTTTATCTCAAGAGTTTTATGGCCTGCTTGGTTTCATTAACAAAAGAATTAAATGGTCCAACTCAGTATATTACGTTTGAGTTGGACTGCCTTTTGCTTTTAAGATAAATATATTTTGAATGCTGTAACTATTATATATTATGATATTTAACATGTGACAAAATAAAATGGCTACTGTATACATTTCATATTCTGTCAAAAAATAGGACTATTATATTTAATTACTGAAAAAATAAGGCAAAACAGACACTCTAATTAGAATCATTTTTCTTGCATATAATGGAAATACGTTTTAGGGTAAGAACATGGCCCCAAGTATCAGTAATAATTCTTCAACTGCTACATTCTGAACTTTGTTAGAACATTCACTATGACTAACTCTATTATAAGTGAAGCAATTAAAGAAAAATAAACCCTTTCACAAATACTTGCTAGTTGCATAAATATCATGCTGTAAAAAGTTCAGGTTTTAAAAAAATAACAAGATTAAAGAGTTAATTTTTTTTAAGTTATTATTTTGCATACTTACTGCAGGTGGAAAGATTTAGAGTGCTAATATATTCAAAGTCCTGGATGAAATGCATGTCAGGCCACCTTGTGCTATTTTAGCCTAATGAAATAGCTGTTTTCAAACCTTTAGATTTTACTAAGTGCCACCATTTTTAGATTCAGAATTTAAATGAGTTTGAACAGGGCTACGTATGAATTGTGTAATAATGTCTCAAAAAATCTATATTGAGTAGCTCTTGATAAACTCTGGTTTGATAACTTGTGGCTTAGTTCCTAAAGTTGTGGGTTAGGAAATTTTATCATATTAAGTTTTCGGGATTTTTTTTGAACCTAACAATATCACTGCAGAGTAAAATGAGAATGAATACTGATAGAAATTTTTATGTTTATGTTGCTGAATAAAGAATCATTTTACCTTCAAAAGAAATTTTTATGTTTATGTTGCTGAATAAAGAATCATTTTACCTTCAAAAGAAGTTTTTGGGACTGAGTGTAGGACAGTGGTGAGTCCCAGCATAAAAAAATTTTCATTATTTTTTGACTTGTAATTTTTCAAAATATTTTTGCTTTATTTTATTCATTGGACTTTGAGGGGTTACTTTGCTTAATTACGGAGGAGGTAGAATAATTTATATAGGAAAAACCCATTTAGGAAAACAAAATTTCAACTACTCTCAATTGCTTAAGGGTAAGTGAAATTCATGTTTTACCAGAGAGACAAACTATCTTCATATGGCAAATTAAGATTCAATGTGACAGGGAAATAGAAATTTTTCTCAGAAGGAGGTATTTGCTAGGCATGGAAAAGGAGTATGATAGCGGTGGGTCTGATAGGCAGAAGAAAATGACATGAAATAAAGGGACAAAATCATGAAAATATTTGGTGCTTTGGTAGAATATTAAGAAACTTATATGTCTGGACTTTCATTGGCAGGATGGTAGTAGATGAATTAAAACTTTGAGTCTCATTATGGAGGTACTTGAACATGATTCAGTAAAATTTGCAATTCATTATATTAGGGTTGGGAATCCCTTGATGTTGATTTTGCCTCCACTGACATTAAGTTCATTGAAATAAGCTAAACATATAAAATCATCCACAGTCAAAGACAGAAATTTCTTTTCCAGTTTTTGTCTATAGACAGACACATTTTTTATATAGTTGCAATTATATGTATAATCATTTATATTTAAATGTTTTATAATACAAAGATTATTTCATGTTGCTGAGATTAATTATGTGTATTTTTCTTTTTACTGTGTTTGGGAAACTAACATGAGCAGTGATCTAAATAGAGGGAGGGAGACCTTTTAGGAGACTCTTTTCATAAGGCTGATGAAAAATAATGATGGCTTCTGCTAAATCAGCAGTGAGAAAGGAGACAGAGCAAGAGGAGAGGGCAGACTTAACTTGAGCCCTCCTAAATTCCAGTTTGCATTGGAGTACTTTTCATCAGGATTCCATTACTGATTATTTTTCCAGAAGAGTAGTCATCAGTCAAATCGTTTTAAATTCAGGTCACTTGTGATGGTGACAGTTTGAAATAACCCATCAGTTTTTCTGCTTGTGTTCAAAATAGTATTTATCAAGCCTCTAGTCAGCCCTTTACCTAATTAACCTCTTGATATGAATTTTGCAATCAAAGTCTAATTAGAGTTATTTTCTTTTTTTCCATATGTTTTATGCACCTTAGGGGACGCTGCTGGGATTTATGTGAAAAGTATAATACCTGGCAGTGCTGCATACCACAATGGCCAAATTCAAGTGAATGACAAAATAATTGCTGTAAGTAACTGTTCCCTGGTTTAGAACTGAATTGAATCAATTTGGAGGAGAAAGTTATCTTTATAATATGTACAAAAGGGGAATGGTTTAATATATAGCCTCATAATGTTTAAGAAATTGTCTCTTAGTACAGTGAAATCTTATTAATTCGGACACTTATGGTCCTAATTTTTTTTTTTTTGCTGTCATGAAGAGGTTGCAAATTACATTAACAGGTAAAAACACATGCATATTTATTTTTAAATATATACATATAGATTGGTGAGGCAGACCTCTTCTGTCTTGGCCACTACTCCCCTTAAGCGTGTATTCCAGTATTGCTCCCACTCTGTCTCTGGTGAATCCTCTCACCCTTTGCACCTCTGGCCTACACCCCAGTTCTATGCATGCATGCATAAATAAATAAATCCTTTTAAAAAATAAATATATTCAAAAGATTCACTAACATTCCCCAGTAAAACATTTTTTAAACAATTCTTTTTTTTTTTAAAAGATTTATTTACTTGTGCATACAGAACTGGGGTACAGGCCAGAGGCTCAGGGGCAGAGAGAGGCTTCACCAGACACAGAGTGGGGACCAGAACAGGCAGATCAATGAAGTGCACTGCTGAGGGGAGCAGTGGGCGGGTCAGGAGAGGTCTGCCATGCCATGTCACCTGTGGGGCAGGCGGGAATTGAACTCATGTGGAAGCAGCTTTAGATTCTCAGTGCTGTGCTTTAACCCGCTGTGCCACCAGGGAGGGCCCAGTAAAACATTTTTTAAGCACCCCTTGTGGTCTTTTAGCTTACTATGAATAACTAAATAAGCTGTTGTCTTTTATGTCTTCAAGAAAGTAGCATTATTACCAACAGTAATTTTAAGTAGATGCAAAATTGCAGTATTTTATGAGAATATTATATTACATTTTATCATATCAAATTGGTCTTTAATAGCAATACTAAATTTTATAGTTTATTTGAATATGTTTTTTAGGAGCACATGTGTGTGTGTTTATACACACATTTCATTTAGTGATTTTTTTTTTTTAAAAGATTTATTTATTTATTTGTGCATACAGAACTGGGGTACAGGCCAGAGGCTCAGGGGCGGTGAGAGGCTTCACCAGAGACAGAGTGGAGAGCAGAATAGGCAGATCTACGAAGTACACTGCTGAGGGAAGCAGCGGGCGGGCCAGGAGAGGTCTGCCACGCCATGTGGTCACCTCCGGGGCAGGCGGGAATTGAACTCATGTGGAAGTGGCTTTAGCTTCTTAGTGCTGTGCTTTAACCCACTACGCCACCAGGGAGGGCCAGTAAAACATTTTTTTTTTTAAAGATTTATTTATTTGTGCATACAGAACTGGGGTACAGGCCAGAGGCTCAGGGGCGGTGAGAGGCTTCACCAGAGACAGAGTGGAGAGCAGAATAGGCAGATCTACGAAGTACACTGCTGAGGGAAGCAGCGGGCGGGCCAGGAGAGGTCTGGCTCGCCATGTGGTCTCCTCCGGGGCAGGCTGCAGGCGGGAATCGAACTCATGAGGAAGTGGCTTCAGATTCTCAGTGCTGTGCTTTAACCCGTTGCGCCACCAGGGAGGGCCTCATTTAGTAATTTTTATAAAAGTATTTGTTGGTATAATTTGAATCTTTGTTCTTTGAGTCCATCTAAGAAAGCACAATTCATGACACCATGGTGTTTAGATAACCAGTCTTAGGAAATGTCTTATGATTTGCAAAGTTTGGAGATCAGTCACAGTGGATGTTTTGAAGAAAATACTTATGGGGAAAGCTAAATCGTTTGGTTAACTTGAAGAAGATTGAGAGAGGAGGCCGATTGTGCTAAATTCAGAGATGTGCAATTGAGCTTGACTTAGACTCGTAAATATCTTCCTTGCATAACTCAGAACACTTGAACACAGAAAGTAGTGAAGGGAGACTAGTATGTTTCCTCTGGAAAATATCACATAGTGACCTGATAGAGGGCCGAGGTACTGGATGACTTCTTGGTAATCATGACTGAAAGCTATACAAAATAATTGGGTATCTTTTATGTCACTAGAATATTACATAGCATCATAGAATAATGCCCCTTTGTCTTTCTCAGTACATAAGTTGAAATGTGTAACTTAGGAATACAAGTGTGAGTTTGCTTTCTAGTTTTTCCAAGAAGTGTTTCAGCATATTTTACTACTAGTTTTGTGTCCTTCTTCAAAAATATAGATATTTTTGAAATTAAGTAAAGCAATAAAGTATTTTTGGAATAAAATGAGTGGTCTAATTTTATTCTGCTTTGCCAGAATTAAAAATAGTAGCTGATATGAAATTTGTTTAATGTGTCTCATAATTTCTAGGTTGATGGTGTGAATATTCAAGGTTTTGCCAACCAGGAAGTTGTTGAAGTGTTACGGAATGCAGGACAAGTGGTTCACCTAACACTGGTTCGAAAGAAGACAGTCTCATCTGTTCCTCTACTTGAAAGGCCCTTAGACAGAGGTAATGGATTCTATTGTCCCTCTTCCTACGAGATGGTTTGGGCTTGGAAGAATATTTCCTTTTTGATAGTTGTTTTGTGAGTCTAGAAAGGAAAAACTGTCCTTGTGTAACAGAGATGGAGAAATGAATACTCTCATTTGTGCATGCAAACAGCTTTCTTTGCCTATTATAATGTGTCAGTCCAAGTGTTATATCATGAACCCTGACATACATGAAAGTCATAAAAGCTTCTCTAAATGGAGATGGAAATATTTCTTCCCCAAAAGCTTCCAAATTTCCTTTATTAGCTACATTTAAATAATACAGTTTTGATACCTTTTGTTCAGAGGCTCTCATTTGTCTAATGCGTTGACATTTTGCAGATTTCAAGTTTCATATCACTTTTAAATATATATTTCATTCTAGTGTTTTTACTTTTTAATATATGATAAGGAAATAAATCATTGATTTCTATTAACATTTCTATCTATAAGATAATTGTTTTGATTATAAGAACAGTAAATTTTCATTATACAAAAGCATAATTGTGTGCACATCAATTTTTAATTATTAACTTCAAGTATGCAGATCGACAAAATCAGACAGTCATAGGAATGCATATTCAATTTTAAATAAATGACTGTAACTCTAAAGCCCTTAGCTTCATCTTAAAAAAAAATTTTTTTTGGCAAGAATACTTTTAAATAACATGTGATTATTTTAAAATAACCTAAAAAGACTGTTGTTCAATCTTTCTACTCAGAAATATTCTAGGATAGCTTTTGATAGACTAAAACCTATGCTACAAGGAGAATTCTTTTCAGTTCCCTACCTTTATATAAAGTTCCCTGTGTATAGTTTATTATATTATTATCATAATGTCATCAACCTGGGAAGTATACACAGCAATGGGACCAGCTTATTCTGTTTGTCTTGTTCCCCAGCCACCATAGCGACAAGCACACAGAACCCTAACAGAAGTTGCTTATGTTCTTTTTCTTTCCCGTAGCTATATTATTCTTGCATTGTCATCAACTTTCCCATGCTTTTCTCCTTCTACTTATTTCTATGTTCTTTTCAATATTACCAGCAGTTTGTTTCTTAAAGATTGGTATCACACATGGCACTTTAAATAAAGGAATCATATATGAAAGTTACCCAAGATGCTTGTAATTAGGTTGTGAAACAGGAACATAGAAGTGTGAAATTAGCTTACTTAAATATGGTCTTTAACTGTTGGAGGTTCTTTTTTTTTTAGGAACTGTTGTAGAACCACCGAAAACACCAATCCTCTTTCTCCCTGGAGCAGTGGAAACAGAAACTAATTTGGATGATGAAGCTAATGAGGAAATTATAGAAAGCCTGGATAGTTTGAAAAATGACAATGTGCAAGCTGTAGAAAAATTGGGTATGCATAAAGCATATGATTCAAGAGTGGTTGGAGTAACTTGATTTTTTTATTTGTTGACCATTTTCTCTTCATAGTTAATAGAATGTGAGGAAAATGAGAGAAAATTTTTGAATTATGAAATAGTATAATAGTCTTACTAACAACTTCTAATACTTGTGGCATTTGGGAACTAAGCATATTATTTAGTCTTTGTACGGTTTTATTAGTTTTGAATGTATTTTTTAGTCATATGTGATGACTGGTTTTTAATCTGTCATTTTAAATTGCTACATATTTAAGCTTGTATACTATTAATATAGCTATAGATCTATGCTATTGTAAGCAATAGCAGTGTTTCTTTTCACCTTAAAAATGAATAATATGGCCCTCCCTGGTGGCGCAGCGGGTTAAAGCACAACACTAAGAAGTTAAAGCCGCTTCCGCATGAGTTCAATCCCCGCCTGCCCCGAAGGTGACCACATGGTGTGGCAGACCTCTCCTGACCCGCCCGCTGCTCCCCTCAGCAGTGTACTTTGTCGATCTGCCTGTTCTGCTCCCCACTCTGTCTCTGGTGAATCCTCACACCCTCCACATCTCTGGCCTGTACCCCAGTTCTGTATGAATAAATAAATAAATCTTTTAAAAAAATGAATAATATATGTGTTTCTGTATGTTTCATATTGCCAGGTTGCTATATGTTGATCCTTTCATTTTCTTTTTAACCAGTGTGCAGCTTTGTCCATTTGTACTTTTTAACCTTTGATTTTGTACTTTCATACCTTCACTATTATAGTAGCAAATTCTATTCTGTAAGCTTATTGAATAACAGTCTCATGCAATTCCCTGCACAATACTACTTAGAAAAGTAGTCTTTTTTTTTTTAAGACTTATTTATTTGTGCATACAGAACTGGGGTACAGGTCAGGGGCTCGGGGTGGCGAGAGTCTTCACCAGAGATAGAGTGGGGAACAGAACAGGCAGATAGATGAAGTACACTGCTGAGGGGAGCAGCGGGCGGGTCAGGAGAGGTCTGCCACGCCATGTGGTCACCTGTGGGGCAGGCGGGAATCGAACTCATGCGGAAGTGACTTTAGCTTCTTAGTTCTGTGCCACCAGGGAGGGTGGGAAAGTAGTCTTTTGAGTGAAATGAAATACTTAGCACCTTCCATGTTTCAGAGAAATTTAGGCTTTTAATTTCAGTTGTCTTGTTTTAGGAAAGAATGGACTGATTTAAGGAGTTAACCCTTCATTCAATTTTAAAACTTCCCATGATTTAAAATGTGCCTTAATCATTTTGACCTAAATAGATTATAATTAATCTTTCCTATTAAATTTAAGTGAACTCTGATATATTTTCAATGATGTATCTGGTGAAAATTAAGTACATTCTTAAGTTAGAAATATTTTTGGAAGTATTTTATCTACTCTTTAACTCAATCATTATAATTTTTCTTCATGAGTATATATTATTTCAGCTTAAACAATAGACCAAAAATTTTCAGCCACTATGAAGTTAGTTTTTCATGCCATTGAAATATTTGCTTGAGATCATCATATTATTTATTTATTTTTTGATCACTTTATGTACCCCAGGATTTATAGAGCTACTGAAAACATTAATCTCTTTTCTCTGATACTTTTTTTCTTTTTTTTTTTAAGATTTATTTATTTGTGCATATAGAATTGGGGTACAGGCGAGAGGCTCAGGGGCGGCAAGAGGCTTCACCAGAGACAGAGTGGGGAACAGAACAGGCAGATCTAAGAAGTACACTGCTGCGGGGAGCAGCGGGAGGGTCAGGAGAGGTCTGCCGGCCATGTGGTCACCTCCGGGGCAGGCGGGAATCGAACTCATGCAGAAGTGGCGTTAGCTTCTTTGTGCTGTGCTTTAACCTTTTGCGCCACCAGGGAGGGCCTCTCTGATATTTTCTTACCCTTTCTGTTTTCACTGTATTGCCAAATATAAGAATATAGTGAGAAGACTTGTTGGTGAAATGACTGTCATGTACATAAAATATCATCTTTAATTAGAATATTTTTAATTTTACAATTCAGCCAATAGATTGCAGATTTTGTTCATATTAGTTTACCACACAAAGGACTGCTTGTTACCTAGAAGTTTAACAGGGAAAATAGCAGAAGTCAGTGTAATTTCTTATGGAAATTTTAAGTTGTCACAAAGGTGTAAAGACCATGTAAGTTATAATTCATTTTTAATAGGATCTTTGTTATCTGCTAAATGTAATCTAGCTTTTCAGTTAATGTGGTTATTTCATGGATGTTCTTTTACAAATCTAGTAGTTAAAAGTTCTTTAGTGTTCATTAGTTTTAGTCTCTGACTTCTGATGTTAGCCTATTTTACTTAATAATTTGAAGAATGCAATTAAGCATTATATGCACCCAAGATGAGCTGTCCATGCTGAAGACTGGAAGAGCTGATACTGCAAATTACATTTATTTGAGTTCAGGCAGATGGTTATATCAGTTGTGATAAATGTTCTGTGACTTGTCCAATCTTATGATAGGATAGAGTTTATCTTAAACATATTTTTTAAAAGATGCAGGTTTATTTGTTCCCTGCTACTGCTATGGGTATTTAAAGCTATGGTTTTAATATTTTGATTTTTGTCTATTAAGCATTGTTCAGACTATAAACTGCATGCTCTTCTCAAAGATTTATAAAGATGAGACAGGGCACTTAAAATCTGTCTTAGCTCTTTAAAATCACCTTACCTATGCAAAAGAGGCATTATAGCCCTCAAGTAAAAATCACAATGCTATGATAACCAAGTAGCCACAAAAGACCTGTGTCAAACCAAAGATTTTCTTATATAAAAACTCAAGCAACTCATTATTTGAATTAAGCCAGAAAAGCCTTTATGTGTACTTAAAGGTCTGACTGAGATTGTGTTCATGTGCCTTGTTAATGGCAATGATAATCTTGATAAGTTTTCACTTTCTGATAGATGAGTATACCAAGTACTACATTGAAGTGATTAACATTAAAATTAAATCCTTGTTTTTCCTGCCTATTATAAAGCAAAGCTAGATGTTTTTTTTGTGTGTGTAAACTACGGGTTATTCACATATGAAATATATATAATTCAATTTCATTTATAACTGATAAGTTCCTCTTCTCTTTAAAATATTCCTTAACAACAAAAAGCCTCTTCATAATTTGGTCACAGCTGGTTTTTACATTTTACATTGGTCTTATAAGTCACCCCTGATTTACTTTACCTAGTAGATTTAAATTAATGTATTTCCTTTTTATTCATTTCCCCTTACTTACTGGAACTGTACTGTTATTGAAGAATTTAGTAGTTAAATATGTTTGGCTCACAGTAGCTTCAACATTTTATTTTTAATCCAGAAAGAGCCCCAGACTCTCCTGAAAATGAGTTGAAATCCAGATGGGAAAACCTATTGGGCCATGATTATGAAGTAATGGTATGTTAAAATCTTCTAATAAAAAACACTCATGTCTCATTTAATGTCAAGTTTCTAATACTGCACTTTAAAGAAAAGAGAGTGGTCAAAGAATAGCCTGCCTGCCTTTACCTTTCTCTCTTGCTTTTCTTCCTTACTGGATCAACTGAAAAAACAAAATTTAAAGCATTTTAAGCTATAAGAATAATAAGGTCTGCCTACAAGTTTCAGTTACAATTAGCAGACACTCAGTATATGTTACAACCATTTAAGTTGATAATAGACAGAAAAATGTTAGGAAAGAGAGGGCATGTCTTTACATTTATAACCTATATCAGCTGCTTAAAATTGCTGGCATTTTTATGATTGCTTTTATGATCTGTTTGTTTTATGTATACTGAAAGGGCTGTGGATATTAGTCCTATGTTTCACAAAGAATCTTACAGTTTTATGTGAAAAATGAAAGAATGATTATCAAATGTATTTGGGAGAACAGGAAGTAATTTCGGTTAGTTATATGTTTATGGGGCCAGTGGTCCATTATACTTCCTTTCACCTGTTATTAGATTCATTGAGTAAGGGATTGATTACATTCCCCATATGAATTCACATGAAAGCAAAAAACTGCTTAGAAAAGCCTCAACAGCTTTCACTAAATGCATTAGTAATATTCTTTTAAACTTCTACTATCAGTCACATTTTCTTACATATGTTTGTCATTAGTACTTGTTGACTGGTTGGAGATTTTTTTTTACTCTTTTTGGTTCAGAATATGCAACCACTATCTATTGTCAGAAATTTTCCAGTGTCATTAAGATGAATTTGAAAAGCCCATACTTCGTCTTCTTGCTAATTTTCTACTGGTATGTCACTCTTCACAGACTGCTGCTGCTTCATAGATTTCAAATACTGTTTTGTCACTATTAAATGACCTTTTCTAAGGTCCTTAGTGATTTGACATTCAAAGTAATTTGATGTGCTGTATTTATCCATGGCCAGTTTTGTGATGGGCTCTTTTTCGTTCAAATTTTATCCTCATAACTATCCTTCCAAAATTCACTTATCGTTTGGTAAAGTCATAGCAAGGCAGTTCGAAGAAGACAGAATTTGAAGTATTTTTAAAATTGTGTTATTTTTATTAAGGTAACATTGGTTTATAACTGTGTGTAGGTTTTAGGAACACAGGTTCATACGTACTCAGATGTATGTTTCCACACCACACCCACTGCCAAAGTACCCATAGCCCTCTACCACATCTCATTGAGCCCCATTCCCCTCTGTTACCTTCAATACCAATTCCTATTTTGGCTTAGTTTTGTTTGTTTGTTATATTTAGCATGAGTGAAATAATTTGTATTTGTCTCTCTTCTAATAAGAATAATTCTAATTCACCGAGTTGTAGCTTATTCTGAGGGGTGAGAAGCAGGAAAGAAGTGGTTACAAGATGAATGAAGCAGTGAATGCACTTACTTAGCTGAAGTGCAGTAATTTTAGAGTTTTAGGTGGATCATTGTGTAACTTAGCCTCTCCCTTTCAGATGCACATTTTATTAATAACTTACAGATGCAAATCATCAGTATTTGCTTGTAAGGAACTCACTCCTGTGCACATCGCTATGAAATTTAGAGCAATATATTTTTAGGCCAGGATTAAATGCTTTACGTATTCCCTGAGATTCCCGCCAATTCAGATTTTTCTGTTTGTGTCCTTGCCAGCTATTTCTCTTAGGAAAATTACTTGAACTTGCTCTGGAAAGTCAGATGCTTTGGTTTTTCCAAACTCATCTGACATTATTGACCTTGCAGATTTTATTTCAAAGTCTGAAATTAAAAATGAAAAAAATATTCTTTTGATTTTCATCAACATAGTAGAACATATATGGTTTCAATGTAATGGATAATTATATTAAAATTTTAGGGATTGTGAAATTTTAAGAATAGCATTTGTATTGCCCATCACTTTCTGTTTAAGACTTTTAAAGTATTGGGGCGGGGGGCTGCACTGCAGAACAATAACAACAACAAAAAGCAAACATTCTTTAAAATTTTACATACTTAGTGACTTCAAAAACATTGAAACACCATTAGAATGTAGATCAGGTCAGTGAAGTGATCAATATTAGGCTTTACAGATTCTACTAAAAACCCAGGAAGATATAAAGTTACTTTTTTGCAAATATTGAAAGTGATTCTTCCTGTAAATTTAGGTCGCTACTTTGGACACACAGATTGCAGATGATGTCGAGTTACAGAAATATTCAAAGGTAAGCATTATTTTTAAGAATATCAGTTTATTATTTGAAAACATTTCTGTAGTTTTTTTTGATAAACTAAATCAGTGATGTGATGTAAACTTGCAAATATTTAGGCACCAACATTTCCTGAAATTATGGTGGGTTTTCAGTATTCCAAAAGGTAATGTTAGACATTCCTGCAAAGAAGGGGTGAAATGGGGTTGGGGGTATTCCTTATGTCACTTCCAGAAGCCAGAAATCCAGTTTAACTGCTTTCCCACCTGAAAATCAGTACATAATGTACTGATAGCTTTTCAGCTATCATAAGTTCTTTTAAAATGGTAGATGAAAATTAAGGCCACAAATAATGAACTTTAAGGAATAGTTCACATCTAGCTGTTGAGGACAGAGAAATAGCTTATCTTCTGAGTACAGGCAGTGTTTTTTCTTCAACTTAAAAGAAATTGTGATAGCTTTATTTCTAATGACAACATGCCAAAAGGAAACTTAGAGTACTTCCCAGCACTTAGAGTGTCCTTTCACTGCAAATTAATTTTGCAGTTCCTATTCTGAATAATCAGAAGACAGGGTAATTAAAACTTAGAGAAGCTTTTTACTTTTATTTTTTGATTTTTTTTAAGTATCTATTTACATCATTGTTCATTTTATAACAATGTTTACTCCCCCCGCCCCCACCTCTCATTATCACCATAGCTCCTCTCATTCTTCCTCCTGATCCCTCTACATCCCTTTCCCCTGTAGGATCTCTCTGGTTTATAATTGTCTGTTTTTGTATTGTTTTGTTGTGTTTTATATTGTAATAACAATACACTTTCCCCCCCCATCTTATTTGGTTCTCTTAAATTCCTCCTATAAGTGAAACCATTCAATATTTTTCTTTTTCCTTCTTATTTCACTGTGCATAATCCCTTCTAGCTCCATACATGTTGCTGAGAGAAACCTTGTAAGTGGACTGTTCAACAAGTATTGAGAAAGGAAACATTTTCCTGTCAGAATAATGTCAGATCATACAGCAATCCCACATAGGGTATATGAGCTGAGCCCAGCCTAAATTCTGCTGTCACGTGTAGTATTCAAAATGAGTTTTCTTGTAGCTTGTCAAAATTTATTCCAATATAGTCTCTTTTGATAATTTCTAAATAACTGAGAAAAAGTTGTAGAAGAGTCCCTCGCCAAAAATAATGAACCTGGAACAACTCAGTGGCTTCATGACACTCCCAAGCCTTGAAACGCTGGATTTTCTCAACTGCATTTCATCATTCCAGGGCAGCTGAAAGGCAAAAGATAGCTCCAGATTCCTTTTATGGGACAAATTTAAACGGGTACCAAAACTAACAAAATAGACAAACATATTATGTATCAATCTCACCCATTAAACCCATTGCAACAAGTTAAATTAATGAGCTATTCCAGTGGGGCCAGTTACATGTGGACATAGAGGAAGCAAGCAAAGGCCAGACAAAGGCAAACTGTAAGCCAGTCCTTGAAAGCTAACCACAGATCTGTGGCATCCCAGAGTGGAGGGACAGGGGAGGGGAGGGACATGAAGGCTGCAGGCAGGGACTGTGGGAGCTTGGGTGGTAGGAGAACTACAGCCACCACCACTAAGGGGAGAAATGCTGTGCTGTGAAAATGTTAGCAAAGATGTAAGTCGTGATCCTTCGTTAGTTAAAAAAAAAAATTTAAAATAATGTGGGGAGTGAAACAGGTGCCTGTGATAGAGGTGGCAAGGTGGGGGTGGAGTGGCCATTATTTATTTTATAGTGTCTGGGTCAAGCTAAAAGAAAAGTAGTATGTTATTAAATGCAGTTGGTGTAAAAGCCAGATGCTGCCGGGTCTCAAGGTTCATACTAACAAGCCTGAGCTTTATTCTCCATGTCAGGTAATACCAGTGGAAGGTTTCAGCGGGGTAGTGTCAGGGTCTAGGTTTTTCCTCATTCCCTTCAGCTTTCAGGTTGAGAAAGCTGAGTTCTCTGGCTGTGGCCGGTGTTCTCAAACAGCCTTTAGATGATCGTTCCAGTTACCATTTTGCATCGCCCCTCAAAGGAGTGATTCAAGAAGCATCTTCATAGATTATGGGCTAGTGTGAACAGATACGGTTTTCTTCCTAGGTGATGGGGTTGTGGAGAAGGAGGGAGGTGAAAGCAATTTACAGTGGCTTGAGCATTAGCTACCCTGCTTCTAGGAAGCTGTTAATCATGACACCAGAGCAGTTTTCCCGCATCTGGGAGACTTGCACTTTTAGGGATGGCTTTCTTGGCAAGTGTTTACTATTAAGATAATCACAGCACTGCAGGAGAAGCATTAAGCACATTTCAGTGACCTTTTTGCTGGTCATCAATTGTAATATGGAGTGAACATTAATAATATCCCTGCCTTGGGAAACAAAAATTCCAGGCTAGGCTAACAAATTTTACTTTCTTTTTTTTCCTGAATTCTATTTTCCGAACCAGAGGACATTAAAACATGGATTTCCCTTTAATTCTCTGTGAGCACATTTTCTTAAGGCATTGGAAAACACTGCCTTCTAGGAGTTGAGATTCTCTGTGATTACCAGGGTCCATTTTTTTTTTAACTTTAAATACATTTAAAAAAATATTTATTTATGCATACAGATCTGGGGTACAGGCCAGAGGTGCAGGGGTGGTGAGAGGATTCACCAGAGACAGAACAGGGCAGGCAGACTGAGGAATTAGACTACTGAGGGATGCAGCAGGCAAGGCAAGAGAGGTCTGCCACACTTGTAGGTCACCTCTGGGGCCAGGGCTCAAACTCGCACTGAAGCAGCTGCAGCTGGCTTGCAGTGCTACATCCTAACCCATTGTGCCACCAGGGAGGGCACTAAATACGTATTTTATTGCTCACAACAACTCCATTGCTCAGTGACTGTTTCCTCCTTCCTATTTATGATACATGGAAGATGAAGGTCAAGTAGGTAAAGTGACTTGCTTCAGATTACATGCAGCTAGTAAGTGGCAAATGAAACTGATCTAGCAAATCAAACATGATCTATCTGACTTCTAAGCCTGTGCCATTCCCTTTTCTTTTGAATTGATAATATATGGGCAAGACATAAAATTTAAAAGTTTATAGAAGTATGTACCACAGAAAAAAGTTTCCCTCCCATTCCAACGCTCTTATTCTCTTCACAGAGACAACCTCAGACAACTGTTGCAAGTTCTCCAGTATGTAATTTTATATTTGGCTCCCTGCTTTTTGAGTGTAGAACACAAGACACAAAATCAAATGACTATCCAGATTTCCTCTGCTGTCCAGAAACAGAGCATTCCTATTTGATAGGTTAGTTTTGGGGTCTGGAAATTTAAAATTTGTTCTATATAAATAATAGCACTTATAGACACTCCACCCCCACCCCCAATAACCTATTTTTGTACGAGTCTGGGAAGACCTGTGGTAACAACAGTTTTCTACTAGGCAAGTGACCTACAAGAAACATTGAATGAATTTTTTCAAAATGCTCATGTCCTGTTTTGTTTTTTTCTGACCGATATTCTGATTCTGTAGGTTTAAGGTGAGGTCTGTTTATAAAGGAAGCTGTGATCCCTTCCTCACCTACTCCATAGAGAATTGCTCAGTTCTCAATAAAGTGTCACAAAGATGTTGAAGCAGGAGATATTACTTCCTTAAGGCAGAGGATGGGAGCTTGTTGGGAGGACGCCATTTGAACTACATTCTGAAGAATGGGTTTACAGTAATAGCAGCAAGTGCCAAGCCCACAAGTGGAGAAAGAGTGGGTCATAACCACAAACTGTTAGGTCAGATGTCAGAGGCTCAGCTAGCACATTGATCAGGCAGGTAAACAAATCTAAACTGATGAATGGAAAAGGGGTGCTTGACCTGGCTATTGTTAACCTAAAGAGAATCTTCAATATTCATTCAGTGAACATAACATAAATCATGTGTGTTTTTTGAATTAAACTTTTAGGTGGGTGAAGAACTAAGATAAATCAAATTAATGAACTGATTGTTTGGTACAACTTCTTAGTGAACACACCTTGCTATATTTCCCCATTGGTTTAAAACTTATAGCCTCAGCCTTGGAAAGTACATTACTTATGGTAAATTTACAGAGTATTTCTCCCTAACCTTTAAACATAAATCATTTAATATCGTCACTGAGCATATGTGTGTTTCTGTTCTATTTTGTTTTAAGTTAAACTCCTCTGTAGCATTTTCCCCCACCCCACTGATCAATCTTTGGAGCATTCCTTTCCATAAGTTTCCCTTCCTGAAGCCACATCATTTGAATTCCCAGTTAAGCAAATATTGTGAGTCACACACACACACACACACACACACACACACACACATTTTCCCCCATATCTGGTTTCAGAATCCTGAGAAATAGAATTTTTAGCAAAATGGATAAACTGTAATTTATTTCCATGACAGGTCTCTATTCACTGTTGAAGGCATATAACTTGCTTGATCTTAATGGATCTTCATTTAGCACAGAAGATAATAACACAGTGGTCACACTTTCCTCGGCTACATTGCCCATAGCCACTACTTGTCATAACAGGATCATGAAAAACCTGTCACTCATTAACTTTGTCAATTTTAATAGGACCTTTGCAAAGCTCATTGAAAAAGCGTCAAAAAGCATAACATGCAGTGGGGTAAAGGCATCAATCATCTGTCTGTAGGGCCCACTCCTGCCATTGTAGCACTTTCTGCTCTCTGTCTGAGAACTCAAAATACCAAAAGGGTGGACAACCAAAAGAGACAGATGAAACGGTTGATTTGTTTAGTCACAAAATGCAGCTGGGGCAGGTAATTAAACAGTCCTGCTACCTTGGAGAAGCCTGTAGCAATGTAACACGAAGTCTCAGAAGCCCAGCTGCACTCAGATTTCGATTCAGAACTAATATTAAGTAGGCCTCCTTAGATTGACAGATTTCATAGACATCATTTTTGCTTTATTCATTCAGCATGATTGAAGATGGAGTATTGCATTTTGTTCATGGTTTAAGGTTCTAGGGAGAGTGTGGTGATTATAGATATCAGGGAAACAGCCTTTGAAGGAGCCATCCTCTACTGGGCAGGCAAGGAATGCCTTTGGCAAGCCTCTGCTATGCCGCAGAGCTCTGGTCTATTCCTGACAACTGTTTCGTGGCTATGGTGAATGGAGGGCAACCGAGTGAATAAGGCAGATTGGTAAGGGACTGGAAGGAGCCACTGAAATCAGTTCCTTTACTAATCCTTTTGGGGTTTTTTTTTTTTTTTTGGAGGGGGACATATTATATAAGTAGCAAATATTTCTTTGTGTGTACAGCAATGTCTTGGTTTTGGGTGTTTATTTCTGCCACTGTCTACACATTTGCTCAAACCAATCATTTAGCAATAATCTTTTAACCATCTCCCTCAAGCAGTCTTCCTGCAGGCTGTCTGTAGGACGGACTCTTACCTCTCAGGTCTCCCTCAAATGTTCTCATCTATGTTCTCATCTCTGTGAAACCTCTGAACAACTTTCCCACATGGCTGGCATCCACCAGCTGTATTTCGTGTCCTGCCCCTGCCTAGTTCCTTGTTACTGGTCATCGCAATTAGTAATGAGTTTGTTTTATATTTGTTTGTTGATTTAGCTGTTTGCTTCTTTATTGTGTCTTCTTACCCTCTTGCTTGTTGTTTATTGTCTATATTCCACATGAGATGTCAATTCTACTGTTCACCCAGTAATTCTGCCTTATAGCTTGAGTCCTTGCATGTGATTTTACTCTGTAACTATGTGCTGGATAGTGTGTGAATACTAGATCCCAGTTCAGTGGTATGCTGGTACAGTTCTAATTCTCAAAACGCAAAAAAAAAAAAAAAAAAAAAAAAAAAA